AATAATTTTATTTAATAAAAATAATTATTATTATTTATATGACATAAAAAATATATAAATTAAAAAATGTGTAAAAATAACAAGCCACTTATATTTTCAAACCAAAGAGTATGACTGTAGAATAAGAAGACTTGACGTAACATGCGGTGGAGGCGTGAACCTGGCGCAACTACAAACTAGAACATGACTTTAGATTTTTTTTTTTTTTTTAATCTTCCCACTTTAATTTTAAAGGAATTGACTTGGTATATGATGAGTAGTAGGAATATATTATACATTTAGAGTAGGTAGTTTGATGAATTCGATGTAGCAAAATGGATTAAAAACTGCACTAAAAGCCAGAAAGGCAAAGAGACTCCGTCCACCTCGAAAATAGAAAATACTAGCAATTCAATCATGCATCAATCTCTTTCCTTGAGTCAATCCGTTATTGATTCCCCATAAATTAAGTAGACTCTGTCCTTCTTATCTTTCCTCACCTAATTTAATTTTTATTTTTTTTAATAATTTTTCAGTATCTGATAATCACATTGAATTTTGATTGATTCAGAATTGAATTGTATTGAATTTCGAAAGAAACTCTTTTAACATATATTTTTCTATTAATAAGACTCAAATATAAAATTTTATTTAAGAAGAATCGATCTCCTTTAACTCCGGACCAATATATTGTTGGTATGTAATTTCTATTTTGATCAAGAATACCCAATCTTGTTTAATGCAGGCAGCCCCACTTCCTTCATATTCTTTGTAACAATTGTCCTACTAAGAAATATATAAATTAATAACTTTCGACTAACCTGGTCGTTGTAGTATAGTGGTGAGTATTCCCGCCTGTCACGCGGGTGACCCGGGTTCGATCCCCGGCAACGGCGTTTTTATCCACTTTTCTCACCATTTCCTACACCTCTTAGCATTTTGCCCAAGAAAACCAACTTAAAAGCCTTTATCCGGTTTCTCTCAGGGAATCTTTGCGTAATTGCTCTTTAACAATCCAAGAGGGAAGTTAAGTGGTTGAGATGAAATAAAAATAATCATTATGGAATTAAAAAGCTTCAGAAATAAGAATTTCAGACAACAATATGGAGGTAAAAGCCGTAACAACATAGAAAGACACAACTCATTTCAATCCCTCTTTTGATTCTGCTACTTGCTTGGAATCATGATTTTAAGCTTCAGCCTTCTTTTGCACCAACTTCTCTATCAAATCAGCTGCCTCTTGAACAGTTGTTATGTTCTCCGAGCTCTCTTCTTCCACACTAATGTCAAATTCTTCCTCCAACCCCATCACTATCTCCACCTGTGATGTCAACCATAATATAGTGCTTTAATTCTCAGAACCAAATTCAGTAGCATGCATGATGTCCTTACCGTGTCAAGTGAATCAGCACCGAGTGCTGAGAACTTGGACGCCGGGGTGAGCTCAGTCTCTGGAGGCAAGGCCAATTGTTTTCTCACAATGTCACATACTTTCTGCACTGTCTCGGGCTTTGCCTGCCAATTAATTAATACTAACTCAGCAACTCTATATAACTTAATGGTTAAAAAAACAGCGGAGGGGATGGGTTACGGCGCAAGTAATGCGGAAGGAGCGAAAGCCACTGTTTTTCCATGGAATGGAAACCAGTTTCGTACTAGAAATTCTCCTAGTTCCCTGCACAAATAAGTATATAGGGGAGTCAAATCTTCAGTTTGTAAGTTCAACTACCACAATCTCACACCCCAAGAAAATAGTGTAAGAGTTTGAAACTTAAATTTCAAGTCTAAAGCTCCAAAGACACTTCTGAAGTGATATGGAAAATAAAATGTCACATTTTGTTGTATAAGGACTGAAAAATTAACTTTATACACAGAGCCAGACATGTTTATAAGGAATGGTTTAAAACTTAGGAAAATTTAGGTAGAAATGTAAAAGATAAGACATGTTGTTCATCTAAAAAACAAGAAAAATCAACAGAAATTATAACCGATATTAAAAAGCAAGGGGGTGGGGTGGGGGAGTTAATTACCTGGGTGGTGGTGTTGGATGAATAGGGTGAAGCTCTGAGACAAAGGCAAGTAGCTGAGACAGACGCCATGGAAATGGGAACTCAAGGGTGTTGCGTGTTGCCAAATGAGTTTTTTCTGTATTGGAGAACAAGGGCTAGAACGGATCAGTAGTCTATCTGATGGTGTACAAGAAACGGTCCCACGAGGCAGAGTGTGCAAGTTAGAATGTGAGAACGAGTGGCGAATATTCACTCCTGGCGAACAGGCCTATCTTATTGCTCAACTGGCACGGAATTGGATCTATTCTGTGCTGTGGGGCTTAAAGTTTAATAGATGCAAGTTGGGCAAACTAGGGCCTAACTGCAGCCCTCTCATGTCTCGTGTCTTTTGGGTTGAGATTGTATGGCAAGTTAAGCCCGTATACAAGAATCACCACGTCTTATAAGTAGTTAAATTTATTTTTATCTCAACTGATATTTTAATTAGTAAAAATTTAAGATTAGCTATGACAAGTTGAGTTCGAATAGGGGAATCACCTCCTCTTATGAGTAGTTATATTTATTTATTTTCTATTATATATTATTTTAATTAGTAAAAATTTAAGATTATATATGATAAATTAAGTCCGAATATAAGAATGATCTTCTTTCCTCTTATTATAAGTAGTTAAATTTACTTAATTTCTAATATTTTGTAGGATATTTTAAAAGGAAAGAACTAATATTTTAAATCTCAAACGTTGAAGTTGAGTTTAAGATAAATGAAATAAGATTTAAAAAACACATTAACTTTCTTATTATATAATTCACTCCCTTAAGATGTACCAACAAAAATTGAGGTAGCAAAATTATGAATCTACACTTGAAATTTCATTTTTACCATTAGTGAATTAAAGCCTAGCATAATAATTTCTTTTGCCAGTGATTGAAATCTCCATTTCATTTTCCCTTTAGTTCAATCCATTTAGTACTTTTTTACAAATTAAACATATATTACTTTTAGAATATATTTAATTGAAAAAATAAAAAAATATATTTAAATAAAATTATTTTGTTCCATCAAATTAAAACGTTAGAGAAAATGATCTATTTTCCCCTCAATTCCTTTGTCTACCATCAAACTAAGTGGAAAAATTAAAAAAAAAACTAGGCTTCGTGGCTTGTTATCCAAGCAATTAAGTTGCAAAATGAAACTTTTAAATGGTTCACAATTACGTCCCTGCTTACCGCCGGCATGCAGATGCCCACGTCTCCGCTTGCATAATTCTTGAAATTACCCGTCTCAGTCCATTTGCATATTATTACCAAAATGCCATTGTAAATTTGTGAGATAATGTTTAGAATAAAAAAATATATTAAAGAAAACATATGTTAAATAAAAATAAAAAGAATTAAACTTAAATCTATTTTGTCCATAAAATACTTATGTGAAATTATTTCAATTGGCCATAGGATAAAAAAAATTTAAAATTTCATTTTTTATATTATTTTTTATATTTTATCTCTGTTTTCTTAAATTATTCACATAATAATATGGAAAAAGTTTATTTCCATTAGGGGAAGAAGTATGGGATTGTGAATCAAGTTGGAATGTTGGATCATCATTTTTTTGTTTCTGGTAATTATCAAGTTTGATCTTCTCCTTGATGTATTTTTCACTTGTTTCCAAATCAATAAAGAAAACTTAATATCCCTTAATATTATAAAATGCGAAAATGCAATGCTTGTGGTAAGTTTACAACCACCATATTATCATTTTAATTTTTCATGGTGATAGTGTAAATCATTTTGTGTGAAATATATTTATTTATATATATTAACAAAAAAAAATTATATATTTGCTAAAATTGGAGTGGTTTGTATATTTTAACACAAAAAATTGTTAGTATAATTATTTATTTTGTTGAAGATAATTAGATATAATCCCTCTACTTTGATGGCTGGAAAAAACATATATCTCTTCTTTGGTATACTTGAAGAGAAACTTGAAAGTTAAAAACCTCCTCCGATAGGATTGTATTTTGGGCTGGTTTTGTGGCAATGATACTTAGAAGTAGATAATTTTTTTTGAAATTCAAACTCTTAAATCATTTATGAAATTTCAACTATTAAAATTTTTATTTTTAATCTTTCTTTTGTATAAAGGGAATTGTGGGTAAGGGGAAGGAGAAATAAGAGTAAATGGATTCGAATATCAATAATATAAGTGAGAAACTCATATAGTGATCATACGAGTTACACATTAAAGTTTCAATTATTAAAATTTTTATTAGTCTAAAGATTTGTTTAGTTTGCAGGAAATCACTTCCAAAAATCATTTTATGTATTGGTCTAAGGGTCTAGATTAAAATTACTTAATTTTTTTTCTAAGTAATAATAATAATATCATATAAATAAATAGATAGATTATTGAAGAAAAATCTTGCTTAAAAGTACTAATTAAATACTAATTCGTAATAAAAAAAAGTCAGAGGGGCAAAACGGTCGTGACGGAATCAATAAAGAGCGCGCACAGGCAGTCCCTCCTTTTCGGGGCGTAAGGACAGAGAGTCTGTCCTTTCAAAACGCAGGCTCTCATTTTCTCGCGCCCCAAACGCCGCCACATTACCTCCGGTTTCCTCCCTTAATAACTAACACACGCACACACAGTCATTCCATTTCCGACTGAAGAATCGAAACGCAGACCGAAATCAAGATCTGCAAATGGCGATCTCCGACCATTCCCGCCTGATCCCAACCTTCCTCTACTCCTCCCCCTACACCACCAATCGGCTCTTCGATTTGGACGCCCTGGCGGACGCCAACTATCACCCGCTGCATGCTTCACCGTCGCCATCGAAATCGTCCGGATGTGGTGATGCGGCGAGGACGAAGTTTGTGATTCCGACACCGAACGAGAATATCGAGTTGTACTCGCCGGCTTATTACGCCGCGTGTACGGTCGGCGGGATACTGAGCTGTGGCCTCACTCACATGGCAGTCACTCCGCTCGACCTCGTCAAGTGTAATATGCAGGTACTCTCGTTTCCTCTTTTTGGGGAGATTTTCATTAATTTGAACTTATTTTGTTGGTTGATTCCATTAATTTGCGAGTATTAATGCGAGTATTTTGATCTCTGACTGCGTAATATTAGAGTGCCGGATAAGGAAATTTGCAGTAGATCATGTAAAATTTCTCATGTTCGCTTTGCCATTCATTTGCAATTTGCCCTTGGTGTTGTTTATTCATTTGTAGATGGTAATACTTGACATTGCTATTGTAAATTCAGAGCAAAAATCTGTGTTGTTCTTTTGATTCAGTCTTCCTGTTTCGAATTTTGGTATTGCTGAATTTCTAAATATTTGGTAATTTTTAATTTTTTGACTTTTTAGCTGACATATTGAATTGTTTATAGTTGCTTTTTGGAGGTTTAATGTTTGTTCCTTGTTTGTTTGAAAGCTTGAACAACTTTATTTGTTTATTTAGATTAATCTTGTACTTTCCCTTTTTGGTATTTCGAATGGCATGTGTAGGACCAAACCCTTGGCTCCAAAAGGAAACCTAATAGTCTTAAACCATAATTTTTTAATGAAATATTGCAGCTGTTGAGTTTTGAGAATTGATGTTATTCTTTTCAATTAACTATTTCCTCTCATTGGAAAAACTGGAATGCCTAAACCGTGTATTTGAAATTTCAGATTGATCCAACAAAATACAAGAGCACCACATCTGGGTTTAAAGTTCTGCTGAGAGAGCAGGGTGTTAAAGGGTTTTTCAAAGGTTGGGTGCCAACCTTGCTTGGGTACAGTGCTCAGGGTGCCTGCAAATTTGGCTTTTACGAGTTCTTCAAGAAGTACTATTCAGACATTGCTGGGCCTGAGTTTGCAGCCAAGTATAAAACCTTAATCTATCTTGCTGGCTCAGCATCCGCTGAACTCATTGCTGATATTGCTCTCTGCCCCATGGAGGCAGTCAAAGTCCGAATTCAAACTCAGCCTGGGTTTGCACGGGGTTTGGGAGATGGGTTTCCAAAGTTTGTGAAGTCTGAAGGTGCTCTAGGGTAATGATATATATACAAAATATATTTTGCTTATTGTTTTTTCTTTTGTTGTGAAATTCTCAAGGGAATTTTGATACCAAAAATCTAGTATATTTACAGGTTGTACAAGGGACTTGTTCCTCTCTGGGGACGGCAGATTCCATGTAAGCCAAACAATTTTGGTCTACTCCATGCCTCATTATGTTGTTAGATGATATTCATTGACCATCTATTTTATTTGTTATTAACTTTGAAAAATTGCTTGACAGAATTGAAATTTTTGCAGATACAATGATGAAATTTGCATCTTTTGAAACTATTGTGGAGCTTATCTACAAGCATGTTATCCCCACTCCAAAAGAAAACTGCAGTAAAGCATTGCAGCTTGGGGTGAGCTTTGCTGGTGGATATATAGCTGGTGTTTTCTGCGCTGTGGTATCACACCCGGCAGACAACCTGGTGTCTTTCCTCAACAATGCCAAGGGAGCTACTGTTGGTGATGTGAGTGAAATCTTATTTTTGCTCTTGTTCAATGTGTAAATTCTGTTGTTCTCATGTTTACCTATTTATTGTGTGCTTTACAAATGCAGGCAGTCAACAAGCTAGGATTATGGGGTCTTTTCACCCGAGGTCTTCCCCTACGAATTCTCATGATTGGAACCCTTACGGGTGCACAATGGGGCATCTATGATGCTTTTAAAGTCTCTGTTGGGCTGTAAGTGTATCAAATTTTTACTGAGAAGTTCCAATTTTGTGCATCTTTGATACACACTAATGACTTGCTCCTTGTTGCTTACTGCAGGCCAACCACTGGTGGTGTTACTCCGATACCTACCACTTCTGTTTCTAAGGAATAAATATTCAAGCTGATGATGGCGAAACACAATGCACATGCTTCTTGTTGCCTCTGAAAGAGGAAAAACAGGTTGAAGTCTGCCAAAACAGTACACCTCACCTACCTTGGACACTGTCTTAGATAGTGAATTTTGCATTGATACTTGTTCTAGCTGGTTTGGTTGATTTGTGAGGATGGTTTCACGTCTACTTATTCTTATTTACATTGATTGAATCTCTAGTTTCCCATGTATAGAAACGTTATTAAACATCCTATCCATATATACATTGTTTCCAGCCTAATTCCAGCTACACTACTGATCAAATATGTATATACATATATATATATATATATATATTTGGCTATTACAGATCAAATAACAGAAGGATAATAATCAAGGTGTGCATATTAATAAAATCATTTTTGTTCTTATTAAATGGGTTTTTTTGGTACATGAAAATTAGAAATTGAACTTAAAACCTGTGTCAACTCTATTATCAGACCAAATGAAATTTAAGTCCTTTTTTTTACTCTAACTGCATTTTACCCCATGTAATGTACAAAAGAAAGACATCAACAGGCACAATGCACCACGCCACAAAAGATGAACTCTAACTGCATTTTACCCTATGTAATGTACAACAAATTTAATAATCTTTCTTCTTTTTTTTTTTTACAATACAGAATAAATTTTACGAGAAAGAAAATCCCAGTTCAAGTTGGATTTTGGGGGAATATGGTATCAACAACAACCCTTGCAAATGTATGACGAATTTCCTGCAGGTTTCCCAAAGCTAATGCTTCATAGTTGATCTTGCCATGTCGCTTTGGAACAAACCCCTTCTCTGCACCCTCTACCACGCACTCTAAAACTCCGCGGACTTTCAAAAACAGCTGCAATGGTATATAAACCTGCAGATGAAAGTACGATGAAATAAGGCATGCTCAGGAAGAGCCTAATCGTATCAAAACTGAATCTATTACTAGAGGAGGCGTATAATGCTTACCAGATCTGAAAATGGGGCTTGAGGGTACGCTGACATTGCCTTGGAGACCAAATACTCATCCGTTAAATCACACAAAGCTTGCTTAACAGATGCAGCAAGATCCATAACCTCTTCTATCAACATCTGAGAATCTAGATCTTGTGGTTCTGATAATTCATAAAAGCTACTCTCATGTGGTTTATTTATACTCCTGGAAATTTTTACAGCTTGTAACATGTCTCCACCATGGTGGACAGCAAGGCAATAAGCAGTGACAACAAGAGGATCCCTTGGTTGGTCAGACAATGCTTTATGGAATGCTAAGATTCCGACCCTGAAAGTGATGAAGAGCATCTATCATGGAACAGTGGCATCATATAGACAAGAAAACAAAGACGATGACAACAGTAGTAAATCTGTTGGGTTATTTATAAAGAAAACAACAAACCTAAGCATGCTTCATCTTATGTAAATGATAACCTGGTCAATTTAAATCAGGATACATGGTAAACAAATCTCAGGAAGATCCCTATAATTAAAATTCTGCAAATAGAGCAGCACTGAGAAATTAGCTGTCACTGATAGGGAAAGGGGTAAGTGGACTGCTAGGATCAAAACATGTGATTCCCCGTAAGAAAATGCCATCTCTTCTGATAGAAATGGGTGATTGGATTTCAACAAGTCATGGGCTACCGTTTATCCATAGCCAAAATATTCCTAGAGAAGCTCATGTTGTTGGTCAAGCGTGAGATGTAAGCAAGCAACTCGAGATTATCTTCACAATTCCCCCCCACAAAAGAATCAAGAAGCCAGAAGGAGAAGTCATTTTAAATTCTCAAGCCCAAAGAGCAAACAGAAGCAATTCATTTTCAAAAGTCTGTCCTTTAACAAACTCAATTTAGTAGAAATATTCTCATGCTGTATTAGCATGAGGTGTGAAGCAAAGGTTGAAGCCATTGTGCTTTATTGGGAACTACAAGTCTACTACAGAAGATTTTTTATCATAGTTACATCATTGTTAGGAAAATAGCAAATAAGCAATTTATCTTTGGTGCCTGGTAACAATCTTACCATAAACTACTGTGGCATGGCCTATCAGGTGCAAGAAGTCTGTCCAGATTTGAGAACAGAGACTGCAGAAGGAAACATCAGAAAGTTAAATCAAAGCCATATTATTATTAGTTTTTGGTCATCAATCAAAGCCATATCAAGCAAACACTCTGTGCAGTCAAAATATTAACTTCTTATGGATCATCATGAGATAAAACATTATGAAAGGATAAGACAGTGGTTAACCACTAAATACAATTTCTAACCATGAACATTTATTCATTGCAGTATCCCATCCAGAAACTCACCAAAATAAAGGTGCACAGCTTAATAAAGGTTTTCTATGCTACCATCAAAACAAGTTTTGTATGCTGGTTAGCAACATGAAAAGATATACATCATTTTACAAAAAGAATGTTCATGGATTGTTTCCTAAAAGAAAAGCAGGTCAAGTAAGTTTTATTTATAGCTTAAGCAGAGACCTGAAACAAGATCTATCACCAGACTAAATATAAAATTTTTTATTCAATAAGATGAACCCAAAAAAAAAAATTACCCAAGAGCATATTAGATCTCTTGTCACGTCTCTTGAAACCTTGGTGAACAAAATATGCAGCCTGCAGATGATGTTACAACAAAGCATTAGTATCATAACTAACATGCAGCAAATGAAAAACAACCATCAGTCTAATACCTGAAAGGGTAAGAGTATTTCTAGCAGCCCAAATTTCCACAATAATCTCAAAGAGGCTTCAGCAGAGCCATATGCTAGCATGTAGTTCATTTCCATTAGAAGCCTTGACTAGAAAAATAGCATTAGCAAATTAGTTCAGCCAGCAAGATTTTCATGTAACTTCAATACGTAGAAACTGTTAAAAACATTCAAAGGAGCCTTTTGAATACCCTATCAAGTCTTAATATTGAGCAAGATAGATTTTTGACAAAATGAGCTGTTTCCCTTGTAAAACGGAACTCTAACCGAGCAGCAATTCTTATTGCACGCAGAATACGAGCTGAAAAGGGTATGGGTCAGAAATGGAGTTTGTAACTAAAGCTAAGAAAGGAAAGTGTTTAGAGCTGTGTGCTTGCAGGCATTCATGGTTTTGAGAGAAACTGCTCACAAACACTCACCACAATCCTCTTGAAAAGAAGCAGCTGCAGGAATCACAGTTCGCACCTACAACGACAAAAAATAAAGTAAGAAATATTCATCATGAACGAGTCCATGTAACTCAAGAAATAACTGCTATAAAATAAATGCACACTTTAGTTTTTCTAATATCTTCAATTCCTCCCGTGTAGTCATACACTATCTTTGCATATGGATCAAACATCAACCTGAAGCAAGAGAAAGCTGTCACCAAATGATAGATGAAAAGCTATAGTAGAAGCTTCCCTTAAAAAAAGCTACTATAAATGATAGAATTTCAGTAACCAAGGGTGTTTAAACTCAAGAGGTGAAGCTATGGTACTCAAACAAATTAGAATGAAATGGCAATTCAGAATTTCGAAGTTCAAAGGGTCATATAAGTAACCCGTTAATTGTAAAGTCCCGCTGCAAACAATTCCTCCAACGAAGATAATCCTTCTCATCACAGCCACAAGGTCTTCCAAATTCGTGACTCAGGTCCCTATGAAACTTTTGTGCAGAGGTGCTAAAACTAGAAACCTGATTTGCAATAAGAGTTGCACACAATTTTAAAATAAAGGGAAGAGAAAGAAAAAGATAAAACTTGCTTGACAGCCTTCACCAGGGGAAAAACTTAACAAGTGTCTAGACTAAAGAAAAAGATTGCTTTTGCAGGAAGAAAAGAAAATTTGAAGGATAAAAAACCAAGAACTGACCTCAACAACTGTATCATCAATGTGCACGTGACATATGGGAAACCTTCTTCCTACTATTTGACACCTAGAAAATGCACTCTTCACCTGTAGATTAAGATGAATTTAGCCATACATTGAATGCCAAATAGGAAGCCCTTTTGCAACATGGCAATTGCTATACAGATGTGAACTAACGCAGACATTGCAGCTTGAAATGAACTTGTTTGTAGGGTATTGACCTTGTAAGAACAAACTGATCAGGGTTTTTCCAATTTCAAGATGAAAAACTCTCATCATGGATAGTGATCTAAAATGTACAGAACTTTATGCAGCATGTATATTGAGTTGGTGACTCTAACGTAGTGTGCCTTTTTAAACACCATATTGGACAACAAATACACTTTATCAGCTCTCCTACGAAAACTTTATGATAGAATTTGAAAGTTGAAATGATATAGTCCGTCATGTGAAGTTCACCTTTAGAATCATTACTTCCATGTTCCAAAAACATAAGGATCATAAACTTCATATATGATTGACCATCCAAACTGGAATCAGGAACCATAGCTTTTCTTTTAATATATAAATAAGAAAACTTTGGTTTTTTTAAAAGCACTCAAATCCAAGTTCTAAGCCGCCAAAACCCTACAGCCGGTTTTTAAGAAAAATCAAATCAACAGTTTAATGCTGCTTTCAAATGTGCTGGACTTCAGAATTGTATCAGGTATACGTTAATTAATTTGGTTATTTTCATGCTGATTGGACAGAAAATATACACTGCTATACACATTTTATAGTCAATATAAATCATGTATCATAAAAAAGTGCAAATCAAGGGTAACCTCTCTAAGTTCGGCTGTAGTTATAATGTCAAAGTCTTTTGGTGTTCGATTCAAGATAAGATCCCGCACACAACCTCCTACTAAGTAAACTTCATATCCTACAAGCACAAAAGAAAGAACCTAAGTTTCAAAACACATGAGAATTGAGAAGCAAAATTTCATACCGTTCATCAAATGTTGTCCCAAAAGGGATCTCTAATTCAAATATATGGAATTATGGATACTTAAAGTTTCATTTAAGCTAGCAAAATAATGTCCAGAAGACCCAGGCATACCTCCTTTTCTGAGGCAGTTAAGAACCCTCTTTGTTGGCTTTGCAATTTTGGAAGTGCTAATTCCAAGGTCTTTGGAGTCAATTTTCTTCCACTCTGCCATCTTAAGATTACCTTCACCAACTTTAACACCCAAAACTCTAGAACCTATTAGAAGATTGTAAAGCATTAAATCCCCAATATAAACAAAAATATAAAAAACAAAACCTTGCAACATGAAAAACAGGAATTGAGATTAAAAGAAACGAACTTCAACTCGCCTTTCCCATGAGAAGTATCCAGGGTTCGAAAAATGTCACTGAAGGCACTCTCCGGCTCATCAACCGTCTGAATTGCAGCAAAAGATCCTAACCCATTCTAGAAATGAAGGAATCAGATGAGTATAGATAATAGAAAACACAAACCCACATACATACGGATATAATAAAGAAGAATTACCCTGCGGAAGCAGTAAAAGACAGGGGGTCGAAGGGAGAAATGGGGTCTGCAAGCAAAGCTTAAACCTGAAACCGCCATGGATAAGGCGACGAGTGGTACAGCATGTTCTGAATCGGTGAAGATGATGAGCTTAAACCCTGAGGCCTGAGTTGATTACTGCAGATTCATTTAGGGTTTAAGACAAGTCCAACAGTCTTTGGAAATTACTAATTCTCCAGCCCATATTGAAATCCAAATCAGGCCCACAAAAAAGAAGAAACACTCTCCGGCCCATATTTGTAATTCTCCCGTTTCTGTTTGGGCATTGAGGGTTTATTACCTCACTCTCTCCTCTTCCCTTCCCAAACATTAATCTCAATTTTTTTTTTTTTGAAAGGAGGAAGGGAGATATTAGCACAGTATTATTGTGATTCGAATCTTGGTATCAACTAAGGTATTGAATGTACCAACTAATTGGCCTACAAAGCTTGGTTTTCCAAATCATTAATCTAAACATATTATTAGTGTTAGTATATATACATGTCGAAACTTTTAAAAATTGGATCATTTAAAAAAATTTTCGGAAGTTAGGGGCTAGTCCCCATGATTTTGCCACTGCATTTCACATGTATGTAGTGTGAAGATGTTACAGCTCCAAATATAAGGAATGAGACTTAATTGGATCTAAAAGTATGAGATTTCTTCACGAGTGTGTGTGTGTGTGTATATATATATATTTATAGTTAGAGTGTTCTTGATATAATTTTTACGTACTTTGAGATTAATTTTTCTCTTAACATCAATTTGGTACATTATAAGAAATTAATTTATTTGAATATTAGTTTCAAAACTTGAATATTAAGCCTCACCTACAAAAGGATGTTTTCTTATTGATGAATGCAATAAAAGTATATGATTTATATGGTTAATTTTGTGCTTTTCCACCTCAACAGTACAGACCATATACTAGGCCAAAAGCTAGCTTTTGATGTGAGATTCTCCCAAGATTAGTATGTAGGAATTGACATCAAAAGTGAACCATGCAGCAGGTCTCCCAATTGCAACCATGCGATGTGGGTAGTGAAACGGAATTTGCAATGTTCGCTTAAAGCTGGTAAGAGACTAGCGCACACGGTTGGCCCATGTAGTGACTGGGGCTACGGATGGTGGTGGAATATATATATTTTTCGTGTTGGGTCGAGTTGTATAATAAGATATAATTTTTTATTATTTTTTAACATAACATTGTATATTAAATCGAAGGTTATACAAATTATCGTTCATTATCCTATGATTGTTATTTAATAATTTAATATAATTCAAATCGTAAAATATAAAACTCATATTATCTAATTTATATATAGCAAATATATATAAGCTGAAGTAATTAATATACTTTTTCCATATTTTTCTCAATTGTGAAAGCATTAATTTCTTTTTTCCATGCAAATAATGATTGCATATATGATAGAATATACTTTTTATATTTTTCATGCTTCACCCCACTCATTCTTAACTTCAAAATCAAAATTTTCAACTCAAGCTCTTCACTGCTGAACGGTGGAAACATCCCATATATTAAAGATATCATACATTTATTTGGGAAGAAAATTAAATGGAAAATAATTGGTATACCATTTTATCTAACACATTTACTAACATTTATCAGTTCAATTATTA